ATCAATAGATTTGAAGATTGCGTGACAATCAGAACCAGCATCAGAGATTAAATTTGAGTAGAAATTCATTTTAGCTTCGAATATTAACTTTTTCACGAGGTTACTTTGTTCAATATACAATTCACGATCAATGGCTAGTTTAGATTTTCGCCAGCGCCTTTCAAGCTTTCTTTWCTTGATTTTATTTGTTTTTATGACGTCATTATACCAGGGTGCTTTCAGGCGTTGCGTGACAATTTTAGTACATAACGGGGCATGTTTATCAAGCAATGATTTCAGAACAGAGTCATATTGAAGRCAGAGATCATCTAAGTCAGCAGCAGGAGATTGCCATTCAAACCTATGGCTAACAATATTGGCTGCTCTTGTTGTTAAGTGTGATGGTCCAAGTGAGTGTATGCATCTTGAGAAAGACTGTTGTTGATGGTAAATGATGTTTGCCAACAAATTGAGTGAAAGTCATCTTCTCTGTCCAGTGATGCCTCATTTCTTGCTCAACACTACCAGTCACAATGATTGTGAATGCAGAGATTTGACTGCTGTTATTTATAGCCAGGTTGCGATTCAATCTCCCATATTGAGAAGAGAATAAAATAACACTAAATATATAAGTACAACAACATTCCTGCATTCTTATTGGCTGAATTTTTATTGGTGTGAGATACATCCAATCAATTAATATATATATAATGATTAATTATCTAAAAGAAAAATCTTTYCATGATCAGTGTCAAATAATTTATTGACGATAATTCATCGTTTTTACAGAAAATTGGTTACCTGCTAGGAGAAACAGATGGCTCAGCCCCCGACGTCTTTATGCTAACAGCAGTATTCTTTTGCTTAAATTTCCTTACGGCCACACAAGACATTGCCGTCGATGGATGGGCCTTAACCATGCTATCGAGAGCTAATGTCGGTTGGGCTTCTACTTGCAATACAGTTGGCCAGACAGCAGGATACTTTCTTGGGAATGTAGTCTTTCTAGCTCTTAGTTCTCCAGAATTCGCAAACAAATATATAAGATCTGTACCACTAGATAAAGGGCTTATAGACCTAGGAGGGTTTTTGTTCTTTTGGGGCATTGTTTTTCTTATTACCACCACTCTGATTGGACTGTTAAAGCATGAACGATCTGAAGACGAAGTTCATGGCGAACAACACGAAAAGAAAGGAATCTTATCAACATATAAAACGTTATGGACAATTATTACACTTCCTGCTGTTATGAAGTTTATCGTAATCCTTTTGACTTGCAAGGTAAGAAATTGAAGTAGACAATTTAAAAAATTTTCTCTGTCAGGAAAAGATCCTTTAAATTAACTTGTACAATAGACCTACTTTGTTGTGTGCAATGTTTTTCCATTACAGGCCATGCATGTGTCATTCTCTTGATAATAAGATTCTTTGTTTGAGTTACAAAGGGTTTTCATGTGCTTTGGGCAGTTATAAAGCACGCGGGGGTTGGCAGAACACGAGAGAAGTGTTTCGGACACTTCTCGAGTGATCTGCCAATCCCCAAGTGCTTTATAACTGCACACAGCACAGCAAGCAAGTTTTTTATTTCTTTTATAAAATACGAATTACAATACCATTATTTTAGATAGAAAGTGCACACCTGTGCAATGTGCTCTCATAAAGCACACGCTCCAAACCAATCAGAATGTGACATTCATAACAGTTATTTTATAATTATTGTTTGTTCATATAGGTTGGATTTGCCGCTGCAGATTCTGTAACAGGGCTAAAGCTGGTTGAAGCTGGAATACCAAAAGAGAATCTTGCAATGCTTGCTATTCCTATGGTYCCTATACAAATTCTACTTCCTCTTTACATCAGTAAATATACTTCAGGTACATAACTGCTCTTTTATCTTGAGAGGAACTTCTGTAGATTTAACTGTTGCTGGGTTTCAATCTGCTGATTAAGATATTTGAATCTCATTACTGTATCTGCACCAAATGGTTGCCAAACACTGAACATTATTGTGTTGTCAACCAAAAAGAATTTTATAGGTTGCTATCAATAGATGTCACTTCTGGTACTAGCTGTATTTTTTATGGAGGTTGTTTTGATCTCTTGTTTTATTCTCGCTTCATGTCCTAGAAATAATCAAATACAATAGTTTGAGGACTTATTTTGACATGTTTTGACTTAGCATCTGCTAGTTGCCCCTCAGTCAACCGCTTATTTACCCCCCCCCTCCCCCCCAGTCAATTCAAAAAATTCATGTGGTTGATAGTAAGAAAAAGAAAACTGGTGATTCAGCTGATGTCAGTAGACCCCAAAGCAACGAAAAGAATATTAGCATTGAATCAAATCTCATTCCCAAAAAGAAGGGAATTCTGTTTTTCTTACTCTCAGATTTGAGATTAGTACAAGGGATCTAAACATTGTATACATGTATATTAATTAAGTATTATTACGCAAGCATAATAGATCYGGTGTGCTAACTTGTGACAATTTACATCTCATGCTGTTATTCACCTACAGGTGAATATAATGTGCGCATGTTTGTTCGTCGATTTGTGCTGCTTGCAGAGATAAGTAGAGTTTGAACAAGAAAAAAAAACTCTCCCTCCATTTCTTATTAAATTTCACTTGTTTTTTAAATACTAAAATAATTATTCGCCTCAGGCACAATGAATATCAGGGAATATTCACCTCGCCACTCGAAGACTTGCATCTCAGTAAATATTCCCAACATCCACTTTGCCTTAGGCTAATAATAATTATTAATATTAATATTTAATATTTATTAATATTAATATTATATTAATATTTAACAATTATTGTTAAATACTAATTAATATAAAACAGTTTAGAAAAGCTTAGGAAGCCATGACATGTGTCTCAAATTCAAAATTTGAAATTAACCTCGCAAATAATATTGCATTAATATTGATATTTTGATTTCATTTTTCAGGTCCAAAACCTTTTGATGTATTCCTACGTGCATTTCCATGCCGTCTATTATTAGGTCTAGTGTTCATACTTTGTGTGTGGTGGGCCAATAATGTACGTCAGCCAGGCGAAGAGGCATTCCCTTGGTATTTTTATGCTGGCATTTTATGTGTATATGCGGTTCATCAGGTGAGTTATAAATAATAGATACGTTGTATAAAACCTTTTTCTTCTTACAGATTATCTGTAATTTAGTGACCCAGTGGTTAAAACCCTTCAAATTTTATTGATACCCTGGAACAGACTCTGAGCTGATCAAGGTGAGTGCATGGCTAACTCACAAATCAAATTGGAATTTAGTTTATTAGAATTCACAAAGGAAGGAATTAGCCATCGAATAGCCCAGGGGGGGGGGGGGTACTACCACCCCAACCTGAGTATAGGTGTGCCGCTAGGACCTCAAAACCCTGACCCTATCCCAGACCTAAAATTTTGATTTTATATACCCTACCCCAGACTAAAACTAAGAAGTGTACACCCTATCTGAGACTAAGAGACGGAAAAGACGGATATTCAATAGATTGCAATCAATATTTACCAACGTTTTTGTTGTTTTTGTGCCGACAGAAAGCGTAGCCTATTCGCCAGACAAAAACGAT